CCCCAAAACCCCAAAACCCCAAAACCCCAAAACCCCAATAAATCTCTGAAGATAGGCAACGAAATAAATAATAATAAATATGTTATCAGCAGGAACGAAGAAGTCCAGTTTTGACATGTCAAGGTCACTGATCAATTATATACCTTCATTGATACTTGGCCATCAACTGAGATCGAAGGATAATGAGGAACTCCCGAGCATTCAGCCGTTACATACTGTCGTGCTTTTTGCAGATATTAGGTAATGTTTTATGGAATTTACAGGCGGTTAGGAGTTAATAGTTTTGAGCTAATTTTGTCTGGTTTTTTAGATTTAGAGGGGTATAAGTTAAGCAGTCTTTAAGTTTTCGACTAGTACTCAGTTTATAAACACATATTTCTCATACTTATTTTGGTGATACAGTGGATTCACTAAGATCTCAGAAATGTGTGCTAAAATGGGCTCAAGAGGGTGTGAAGAACTCTCATTCTGCATGAACAGATACATGGAGAGTATTGTCAAAGGTCTTGGCAAATACGGAGGAGATATTATAAAATTTGTAGGAGATGCTATGATAGTAGTCTGGCCTCGAGATGTCGATAACCCAGATGATGACCTGGTCTCTGTTTCCAGAAAAGCAATCAAGGTAATTCTAACATCAAGAACGTTTAGTGCGCAATTGACATACAGGCAGAACTGAATGGGAAACAAATCATGAAAAATATTTCAAGCCTCTCAGTTAAGGTAAGCTAACAAAAATACAGAAATCATGTGTACCTTATAGCTCGGAATTGGAGTTGGAGACTGATCTCTTCTACATGTTGGAGGTGTCTTCAAAAGAGCCGAATATTTTTGAGTTGGAGAAGCATTAAGTCAAGCACTTTCTTCAGAAGAAGATGCAGTTGGTGGTGACATCATTGTCTCAAAAGAAGTCTGGCAGCTTGTCAAAGAGTTTTTTGATGGGGAAGAAATTCCAAGGATCAACAATGTGAAGATTCTGAAACTTATCGGAGCAAGTCTTCCTCCAATCGCACATACCAATATCTTCATTAATTCGTTAAAGAAGGATGAGCTGATAAAGGCGATGCAATATTTGAAGAACTTCGTACCAAATGCAATTATGCCGTACATTGAAGTCAACATGGAGGAATATTGTGGGGAGACCAGAAAACTCACAGTAATGTTTGCTTCCCTTGGAGTAGATCTTTCAAGTGCAAAAACTAAGGAAGGAATGGATAAAATCCAGAAAATAGTTACCACTATTCAGAAAGTTGTCTACAGAATGGAAGGAAGTCTTAACAAGTTAGTTATGGATGACAAAGGAAGTACTCTTATTTGTGTCTGGGGTCTACCTCCAATGGCTCATGAGGATGATGCAACTAGAGCTGTTCTGGCAGCTCAGATGATTAGAAGTAAATTAAGAAGTCCCGATATCAATTGATGGTGCTGTATTGGAATCTCCACAGGAGTGGTATTTTCAGGTGTTGTTGGTACAAGTGGATCAAGAAAAGAGTTCTCCGTACTAGGAGATGTTGTCAATGTAAGTGCAAGAATTATGGGATGGAGCAAGAAAGAAAAAGGAAAAATCTTCGTCGGTTTCCAAACAATGAGAGAAGCATCACCTTTCCTAGACTTTCAATATGTAGAACATTGCAGATTTAAAGGAAAAAGTGTCAGTCTTCCTATCTATGAGCCTATGGATCCTGAAGAATATGATCATGGGTCTCCTGAAAACTACATGGATCCTTTCAAATACCTTAAGCTTTATTCAAACCCTTTCCTCATCGACAGAAACAACAAGTATCAGAAAGAGTATTGCAAAATTTACGGTCGAGCCAACGATATTGAAACAGCTATTTCAGATATTTTAGAATTCGTCAACGATCTTGAATACTCAGTGATGATATCCATCTATGGAGAGTCTGGATGAGGTAAAACTTTATTTGCAAGAAGTCTCATTGATAAGCTCAGGAACACTCCAAAGCTAAAGTCAGACTGGGCCAACAAAGAAAAGATCATATAATTCTTGCTTCAACTGTTACTTCCACTACAGAGAAGTTGTTCCTGAACATCTGGATTCCGATACTCAGAGCAATGCTAGATATCCTGCAGTCAAGGAGGAACATGAAGAAAGAAGTTATTCTTTCAAAAATGTATGAAAACAACGAAGACATTGAGAACAGTAATTTCCGTTTCATTTTTAGAAATATTTATCTTGGAGAAAATATTCGGACTTGAGCTTCCAAAAGAAGTTGAACAAATAGAGCTTGAAGAAGAGCCTCTTGCATTTATTCAGCGTGAAAAATATCAACTAGATATTGAAGACCCGATCTTAGACTTTCTCTGCGATTTCGTGATGAAAGAGGTCCTGAATGAAGAGCAGTTAAGCTTCCACAACCATGATAGCCCAAACCATCGTCTTGAAGTTCCTCCGGTTATTATCTTTTTGGACAATGTATACATGATGGATAAGCCTTCATGGGAACTTCTAGCACAGCTCAAGAAATATTGCAAGCGAATCTGCTTTGTGCTTCTGATCAAAGTTAATCCAAACCATCAACCAGTGCTTTCATCAGGCTCTGAAGAAATAGCAGCAGAATTCCTAGGCTCAGAGGAAAATAATGATGTAATGATTGACCTCGCTGATCTTGAAGAAGATGAAATCAAGCGACTTCTCTGTGATTTCTCAAGACAATACGAAATTGAAATGAAAGATGAAATCAGAGCAATGACTAAGCTGGAAGGTGATGAGAATAGCTTAAATGCCCAAAATCAGTCGAAGAAGACACGTGAAGAAATGATCAAAGTTCACAATGTCAATGACTACTTCAATGATATTCAAAAAGATGTTCTGGAAGTCATCATGCAGAAATGTGAAGGTAACCCTCTTTGCAGTATGCAGTTTCTGATCAACTTGATGACCAATGGAATGGTAACTACTAAAGATAAGGTTCTGTACCCAAGTGGAAAAGACTTCTTTGATTGATACAAACTTAATGACTGGACTCCACTTAGTGTTCCTGATTTGATGAGTTCTATCAATGGGCACCTGCTTGATCAGTACTTGAAAGAAGGTAGGAAACTCAACACAAAGTTTGTCCAAGACAAGGTCAAAGGAATTATCTTGTTAAAGTCAGCTGCTGTGATCGGAGAGATATTTACTCTGAAGCAACTCGAGTTCATCAGTCCTTTGATAAACGAAGATATTGAAACCATTATGGAGATTTTGATTGATCTCCAATCTAGAGATTTCATTGAAATTATTGACGATAATGATGCTAAGAACTGGATATGCAGGTTCACTAAATAAATTCCTGAGAGAAACTCTGTATCAGCGGTTATTGTTTAGAGGACAGAAGAAGCCTTTACATCAACTTTCAGCAGATTACATTCAAAACAACACAAATTTAGAAATAGATTATGAAATTGAACAAAATAGGTTGCTTAATCACATCCTTGTGGCAGAGGATAAATCCACTGAAGACAAGCTTTCTTTTAAAGCCAAGCAAGCTATTACTGTAAAGAAGCTGTATCATATTATGATTGATAGGAAGAGAAAAATAGTCAAAGACGGCTTTCTAACAAAGCAAGGACAACAGACCAATAAGAAAACTGAGCCTAGATATCTTCGTCTTACCAGAACCGACCTCCAGTGGTTCCACAATCAAGAAGAGGCAAAGCATGAGAAGACTCCTCTTGGGGCCATTCCTTTTAAGGCTATTTACTCAGTTATTCCAGCTAAAACAGACAAATTGACTTCTGACATTTTCATTGATTGCACAGCTTGGAAGAAGAAAAATCAGGATAAAGGCCCCAGAAAGTTTGTCTTTGGAGCTAAAACAGAAAGTGAAAGAGACGACTGGATCACTTCTATTGAGTACATGAAAACAAAGGCGATAGTTGAAAGCTTCACCCAAACTTATGCAAATATAACCTTCCCTATTAAGAGCCCAGCACCTAAGAATAAAAAGATAGGAGGAAATACCACTAATTTTGAAGGTCAGACATCCCTCGGTTCGATGCTTAAAAGACAAGGAGATGTGATGAGACAGTCGGTTGTTACTTTTAAGAAAATTCCAACAGTAAGAAGAGCTAGCAAATTTCAAACTATTTGGGAGAAGAAGAGGCTATCAAGTTTCAGTATTGAGCCAATGCAGTCATCTAATCAAGAAGAACTCATTAAGGACACTGCTAGTGCCATCAAGGGCCTTTTTAATGTCAACATTACTTATTTCCTCAGTCAGATTTCAGAGAATGCAATCAAAGGGAATGCATTCCAGGCAAACATTCTGGGCAAGAAGCCTGACTGCTTGAGGGATGTTGAATTTCAAGGTAAGCAGATTAAGTCATGATTAGATCTTGAGAAAGCAATAAAGCCAGCTTCAACTGTGTCTAAAGGACTTCATTCATTTGATAGTGGTAAGTTTGCACCCTACAATGCTTCTAGAATCTTCCACTGGGATATCTCCAAACCTTAAAAGAGGGAAAAAGTCCTTATTTGGGAACGATATTAGGAAGGATTTAGCTAACATCGAACTTCCTCAAATGCAAAAGAACCAATCTGAAAGGGTTAAGATTCAGAGTAAATTTTCGATCCTTATAAATAGCTAAACTTGAGTCTTTGAAAGATGCAGATTCCTATAAGAAAGAATCTAGACCACAGAAAGCAGCTGAAGCAGGGATCAAAGAAATCATTCATGAAGAGGAAGAAGAATTGAATATCACTACGGACATTGAGAGAAACAAGTAAGATGTTCAATAATACTAATTAGGAATAATCTTGCTGAAAGTTCAAGCAAAGGTAATATATCCCACAGGAAAGGCAAGGTAGCAACCTTTAATCCGAATGAAAGCGAAGGTGAAATAATTAATACTTCTGAAGAAAATTATGAGCAAAACCTTAATTCTGTTCAAAAAGAGCTAAAGCAAGTGCATAATGCTGGTGGTAAGGCAAGGTTGACACATCTTTAGAAGAAAACCACATATATGACGACCCTACAAATAAAGAGTAAGAAACTAAACTATTTTATAGAGACTCTGATGAAGAGGCTCACCAGAAATTTAAAGATAATATCAAAAAGTCAGAGATTAACAATGCTCCAAAGAATACTCAAAATACACCTCATAGACAATACGAGATGAACTTTAACGAATCTAAAAGAGAGCATGTGCACAACGCTAGTCAGTCATCTAATTCCAAATATTCCGTACCTGAGAGTGAAAATTTTGGCGAAAAAGAGTTCGTAGTTACCACCAAAAACAACAATATTGAAAATACTAAGATGAAAGCTAAAGTTCGAAGTGCTAAAAACAAGGCTATTTCTATTGCGAAAATACAAAGAAGCATTACTAATAGGAAGAATAACCCTATGAGATATAGCGATGCTTTTGATCATCACTTTAATGGATCCGTAATGAATGCGTCTCAACAGCAAGCTAAGAATATGATGAATATGATAGACCCAGGAAAAACTCAAAAATTAGCTAGCATTTCATCAAGATTCTCCAATTTTCATCCCACTAAAGACATGATAGGTGTTTCTCGGAACTCAAATAGTAATAGTCCATTTAGAACTGTTGAAGAGGATATTGAAGATGCACCTAACTTTGGCTTTGGACAAACAGTGCCTTCACAAGCTAACCCAATGAATCCTGAAGTTATGCAAAATCAAATGACGAATCCTTTACTTGCACAAATGATGATGCTAATGCAACAAAATACTAAGATAATGGCAGAGCAAGCAAAATTCATCAGAAGCTATGCTGAAGGATCAAAGTCAAGATCTCGGAGTCGCCCAAAAAGAAGTTCCAACGATCACCAAGAAAGTAGGTCTCAATTAGGAATGACATCATATTCAGAACTAGATGTCGATGAAGATGGCTACCAGCCTGAAAATCTTCATCATAATTCCTACTCAAATGAAAGGAATATAAAATCTGAAAGTATTCAGCAGGTCAGCTATGATTCCAGAACCAGAAAGATCAGAGAAATTGCTAAAGATAAGCTTTTAAAGGCACCAATCTCCCCTGAAAAGAAAAGTAATACATCTCTTCTAAAACATAGTTGAGCCAAAGACCTTGGGAATAGTACTACGGAACACAAAATGTCAGATAAATCCTCGCCTGGGTCTCCTTGAGGGACAAATTGTCACTGTAGAAAAGTACTTTTGCCCTTACCCATATAGATACATCGGTGATCTTGAACTATACCAGTGCAGAAGCAACAACCATACTGGGTTGTACAAAAGAGATGACATTAAGATCAGCAAGAAGAAGGGAGAAAGAGCCAGTAGCAGGGCAGAAGAGGTAAAGCACAAATCCCAGCATAAAATCTCTTCTGAACGTAGAATGGACAGCTCTGAAAGAAACAGCAAGAAATATTACAAAGGTATGAGAGTTAATGAATCTTTAGAGAATGAATATGAGGATCATATCGAGAGGGCTAGTAGAGGTCCTAGTTATAATACAAAGGAATCTAAGAACGTAGAAAGGTGTGTATAGGTGTTTAATAACAATAGCATTGATGATATCTTACCTTATAATTCATTAAGACAGCCTACTGATCTTCCACAAAGAGAAGTGAAAAGAGCTTTAAGAGAAGAAGAGTATAAACTAGAAAAGCGTGCTTTTAATAATCTTCAGAAGGAAATGGTAATGAATGGAGATACTTTTAATGATGGAGGAAAGCTCGATTATACAATTACATCACATTCAGCTTCAAGACAATTTAATCAAAACTCTAACTCTGGGTACTCAAATACTTTTCCTAGCCAAAATAAAGATAGCAGAGAGAGTAATTTCCCATCTGCTACATTTAACATCAGAGAACAAAAAGTCCCAAAGACGGCTCTAAGAAAGAAGAATAAACAAAAGAGGCAGAATTTCCAAGAAGCATCTTCAGGATACAATAAAGATCTACAACTAACACATGCGATTCATTCCCAAAAGGTTCCTGAAAGAGTAGGAGCTTTATACTCTTCACCTCTCAATGAATCTATGTCAAGTAGTAATTCTACAACTAAAAGTCTTAAAATGCAAGAGTAATTTGACTTATAACCTTCTAGGCGGAAAAATAGAAGAAAGAATGCTGCACAGGCTAATCACTATGATCCTCAGATTAGAGGTCCAGAGAACTACTCTGAGATCAAGCATGCCAGGGGATTCAACTAAGTGGTGTTAATTTTATGCCAAGAAGTCTTATAAGAAGGTTTTTCAATAATTTACATATAATTTGGGGTTTTGGGGTTTTGGGGTTTTGGGGTTTTGGGG